TCATATCAAACCATATTCATCATTACCATTTTAACAGTAACCTTCTATCGTGAGTGGCTAGCAAGCCTCGTATTGGGTTAGCATTCGTTTAGAAATACCTAAACCGCCATACTGTATACAACTGCATGCAAGCACTTTCTCCGATCGCTGGTTAAATGTATATTCGAGCCTATGAAGCCTGTAGGTATTAATGTGGACCATCCTTCTTTAAACTCCGTAGACTGACAAAGCAGAATCACGAACTGTACAAAATAGCAGAAACCACACGACTTGGGGACTTCCAATAGCACATTTAACTCGATGAGAAAGTAATTAAATTGTTGTAACCTAGAAAGGGTTATTGAACGAGGAATAACCAAAACGGAGGTTGGAAATAAAATGGTAATCTTTATAACATCAACAAAATACAATACTCGCCAGCGGCGTGAAGTAGGTAAACCACTGCTAGTGGTGGACTACTTAGACAGCATATTACCCCCATTTACAATAGTGTCCAACGTATTTCTGAGGACTGGGACATACCCATTAGTGTTCATAGGTACGGTATATAACAGATAATTTCTTTCAAACGAACGTGTGCGATCATGACTGTTTATAAATCGCTGTCCTTTGCTAGTCTTAGCAACGTTTGTCTTTTTATCATGTCTACCACTTCCTGTTCTGATATCTCTTTAGGTAAGCTCGTTAGGTCGGATACTTGCTCTTTCCCTCTGTTTCTCTTGCTTTTAGTATGTCCTGTGAGGCTTAAATTCTCCAAGCCCTCTTTCTTCATTATGTGCCCACAGAAATATCGTCTCTTTCTGATTCTCAATAAAAGTATTCGTTTTGTTTCTATTTTCCTTAAAACTTTTTAGTTGCTTAGAAAAACTTAGATGCGTTTCTTTCCCAAGGCGAATCGTGTGAAATTAAGCGCAAAAGAAACTGACCCAACTCTAGATAGGTATTGCGACCTTTAAGTCTATAGGCACCTCCACATGTCAAGGTTTTCAGTTATTATAAATAGCGATATTATATCCATCGCTGGCTTGCTAGTGCGGCATATAACAAAACATACTAATGTTCCATACAACTTCAAACAAAAACATTAGAAAGGAGGCCACACTGATACAGGAAATAGCGATAACAGTTAGTGGAGATGACAAACCTATTTTCCTGAAAAATTGTTTTAGGGGAAAGATATTAGAAATCTCAAGCGACGGCAGCGTTGAGTGTTTGATCAATGGATGCCAAATGTTTCCTTATAAATAAACTGATAATATTATTAATAAATTTAATTTAAAAATTGTTACATTTTTTTTTTATTTAAAAAAAAAGCGATATTTGTGCCATAATGATCCATTAGTTAATTCGACGATTGTACTGTTGAAGCCACACAAATCAACATTGCTTAGTGTATAATATCATTGTTGGTTTACCAAAATTCGATTCCGGTGACCTGGAGCACCAAGATGAGCAGGGTTTTTGTTGCAAGTCATCTGTCTAGAATAAGTCCAATGGGGTTGGCGGTAAAGCTTGGAACTGTTTGCACCAAACAGTCAAAATGCATTTAACACAAATCGACAAAGTGAAGAAAATGTACCCGTAATTTGATTAAAAAAAATCAGTTTGCATCCTTTGACAATTTTTGAAATTTGCTTGTGTTTCCCAAAAATGGCTCCTTTCTTCATCCAAGTTGGCCATGTTTTTATTTGTCATCTGTAAGGATATCAAATACATATACACAAACATACTGCCACCAAATGCTTAAGATTTTTACCAAGACATTTTAAAAAGTCAAAAATCAACCTCTCACTGCCAACTGATATATATATATATATATATATATATATATATATATATATATATATATATAAAAAATTTGCGTCGATGTGAGTTTGTGACCCTGGGTTTCACGCTCTTTGCAATCGTCAGACAAACTGATTAATTTTAAAATTTTGGATTTATTTATTGTTGCGTATATCGGTGTTTTATGGTAGTTGGGGGAAATTTTTCATCGGAACGCCACGCATACGTACACAGACACACACGCACGCACGTTCCCGTATTGCAGCTCACACAAACATAAACATATATGAACAGTGTGGGACTAGGTGTATACGCGCATCCATGCGCCGTTGCGTGTGTACGTACGCAATTAGTCGCTGTATTCAATGATAGAATTCTGTAGCGATTTTTTTCCAAGTGGCGGTATCAACTTATAGATCGTTCGTCTATGTTGTCTGCGGAATAATGTTTTCTCGCACACATATATACGTATGCACACACGTTCACACACTTTCTATCCGTCTGTTTATTTTTATATCTTTATTTTATTTATTTATTTATTTTATTTTATTTTATTTTTTTTTTTTTTGCATTACTTAAGATGGTGGGTCTGTGTAAGACTATTGCAAGTAAATTTGTTATTTTATTTTTTTTGCATTACTTAAGATGGTGGGTCTGTGTAAGACTATTATAGGTAAATTTGTTATTTTATTTTTTTTGCATTACGTAAGATGGTGGGTCTGTGTAAGACTATTGCAGGTAAATTTGTTATTTTATTTTTTTGCATTACTTAAGATGGTGGGTCTGTGTAAGACTATTGCAGGTAAATTTGTTATTTTATTTTTTTTGCATTACTTAAGATGGTGGGTCTGTGTAAGACTATTATAGGTAAATTTGTTATTTTATTTTTTTTGCATTACTTAAGATGGTGGGTCTGTGTAAGACTATTGCAGGTAAATTTGTTATTTTATTTTTTTTGCATTACTAAAGATGGTGAGTCTGTGTAAGACTATTGCAGGTAAATTTGTTATTTTATTTTTTTTGCATTACTTAAGATGGTGGGTCTGTGTAAGACTATTGCAGGTAAATTTGTTATTTTATTTTTTTTGCATTACTTAAGATGGTGGGTCTGTGTAAGACTATTGCAGGTAAATTTGTTATTATTTTTTTAAACTTTTTAAAACTGTTTTGTTATTAATTTTAAAGCCGGTTATTTGCTTGTGGATTTTCTTGGCGATTGCGCTTATGTAAATTACAGAAATTCTAATTAATAATACTTATTGGTATTTATAGGGTGGTATTAATTTTGCTGGGGGCGGGGAGTATAATATAACTAATGCGGCAATGATAATTGTGAGGTGAAATAGTGGTAATGAAATAATGAATTAAATTTTGAGATAAGTGGGGATAAAATGGTAAGAAAGATATGATAATTACAATAATAAATAAATTAATAGTAAGACTAAAATAATGATTACAATATTGGGGACAATGACGGTGGTGAACTGTAATTAAAGTGTATACAGTTTGTGGGGGGTGCTATTGGTGTGGTCGTAGTGGGAGGAGCGGATGATGGTAATAACAGTTATAACTGCAAATAGTTATAGTAAAAATGACAGAAGTGATTGTAGTAATGGTGAAGAATTGATAATAACAACACTTATTAACTAGTTTGAATTAAAAAAAAATAATTGATGGTGTTATGGTGTTAGAGGTTTCTCTTTCGTGTTCATAGGACCAATAGTGGTTTACGTAGCAGTGTTGGTTGCTAATTTTTTTTTTTATCCGTTGGGTATAAATTGTGATAATAGGTATTTGTTTTCATGTCTGCATTTAGAAATTATTTCTGATCTTATGTTTAGTAATTTCTTTTGGTGGGTGTGGGAAATTATTGCTACCTTTTCGTGTAGGCAAAGCAGGCATTTCTTTGTTATGGTGTTGTAGGCAGATGCATTTTTTCAATATTTCCCAGCTTATTCTTGGTGTAATCTGTCTGTCTTTTAGTTGCCAGGGTCACAATCTCACATCAACGCAACTATATATGTTAGCTCTACTGCTGATATTTGAGCGCTTTCCAATAAGTACCGCGCATATATAATATATGAATAATATATAAAAAAATTGTATATATATATATATATATATATATATATATATATGATAGTTTGTATATTTAGGCAGCAATCCTTCCTTTATGCATGTTTCATTAAAACGACAGACAAAGGTACTACTGTTGAGCTTTTTATTTAATTTTTCTTGTGTTCTGACAAGAGCTTTCTTTTCTGGACAAAGGGTGTGTAAGAACTGTCCGAATGTTTTATATTTCCGAGCGCTTTCGGCTATACCTTTAGTCATTTTCAAGGATGATTCGATTTTCAGCTGAGTTGATTGTGTGCGTTCTGTGTATGCATCAGTGTGTGGTAGGGATGTTTGTAATTTCCGAATACGGTGCTAAGTAACATTAGACGATATTCAAGTCAACATGAAAAGACGATAGACATAACAGTAAGACTAATCAAAACAGAATAACTGACGCCGATGTGATCATATTGTGAAATCTTAAAAATTTCAGTTATTCTGTTTCGATTAGTCTTACTTTTATGTCTATCGTCTTTTCATGTTGACTTGAATATCGTCTAATGTTAATTATGTTTTAATAACTATGTCCTGAAGAAGGTCTACTAGACCGAAACGTCTGACGTCGACATTGAAATAACATTAAAACAGCATATTTGCATATTCGGATTTTTGTTTTTCCATATATTTTCTTCATAGAGTCGGATCTATATCCATATATTTTACTTATATATATATATATATATATATATATATATATATATATATATATATATATATATATATATATATATATATATACATACATATACACACACACACATAGATAGATAGATAGATAGATAGATAGATAGATAGATAGATAGATAGATAGAACATACTCAGATTTGTAAAATTATCACTATACCTTGTTACCTAAATTTGTTTTTTACAGTAATTTTTTTTTCCTTTTCTCTTTTCAGGACTACGCCGAAGGGGGATGGAAATGGCAAGTACACATTTACTTATCGACTCTTATTCTCTTGAATGTTTTTTTTATGTATTTTGTGCGAACGCACTTTTATGTCTTGTCTTTTCTCTTTATAGTTTTGGGGTGAATTCTGCATTAGTAATTACATGCCAGCAAAAGCGGTCAAAGTGCACAACATTTCTTTTTTGTCATGAAAAATAATTGTCTTACTCCACTAAAATCTCTCTACCACTCCCTCTCTCTACTTTTCGCTTGCTTCTCTCTCTCTCTTTCTCTCTCTCTCTCTCTCTCTCTCCCCATTCCTTGTTTCCTTCTTTCTCATTTCCACTCACTTTTTCCACTTAATTTTTCTTTCTTTCATATACACTGCGTGCCAATAACAAATATGGCGCCAGTTTGTTTACATTGCGCAGATCAGTACGAAAATTTCAGTGATTGCGCAGATCAGTGTTGTCAATAGTGTGTGAAAATTTTGTGGGAATTGATTGGACGGTTTTTGAAATATTAGAAAAAAGGTTATCGCGATAATAATTTGGCACGCAGTGTACACAACACACGATCAGTGAAAGTCTGATCAAAGCGGTTCATTGAAAGGTACCCTAATCCTCAAGGAGTCCGAACGCTTGTGTTTAAATAGTTCTCACTAAGCTGGCTTGACTTTTGGCGCGAAGAAATAATTACGTTCGCTTCCTTTCCAATTTGATTCGCTATCAACGACAACACAGAAATTCCGAATCAGGATGGCCACACCCACGAATCAAGTCTTCTTAATAAAAACCGACAGACATTGTAACTGAGCAGGTTTTCTTGTTAAAAAGTTTTCGCCCAATTCAAGGCCTAAGAACCATTCAAGGTAGAAGATGACTAAATGATGTTGTTTTAACCCTTTAAGCCCTGCGTTCCTGAACAATTCCTTCTGCCTGAGCTCCTGAGTCAAAATTCGCCAATAATTGGTATGTAATATTTCACGATATATATAAAAATAGTTACAAGTGTTTATCCACCGTTCAACCGGTGACTGAGCATTAAGTCATTTTTCTCTGCTACTGTTCAACTGGTGTCTGGGCATTACGTTATTTTTCTCTACCACCGATAAAACGGTGGTCAGAGTTCAAAAGGGTTAAGGACATAAGGTTTGTTGATTATACGGATGGGTAGGATAGATATATGCAGGATAGATATCGGTTAACCCTAGACTCAAGATGTCAAGATTGTTCCAGAAAGCATCTGGGGTGGACTTGAGCTCTGGGATATTGAACTTGACTTCCAATAAACACTCAAAGCATAGATCCTCTTTGAAACGAATTTTTTCATTGTGTCTAGTGAGAATTTAAAGTTAGCTCGGCGATGATGAGAATTTGCTAGTTTAGTTACGTAAAGCATCGGTCAGTACAATTTGCTTAAGATTTTCACATATATTGGCTTCAGTCGAGGTTGATTTTGTCGGCAACAGCATCTTGCCGTTACTGCCGTCCACCCACTTTTTAAACGTTAGCAATCATGACATGCCAATGTTTAAATATACGGTGATGGAACAGATAGCAGGCAGAAGCAGATTCATACCTTTTCCCCTAAAGAAATATTAGTGTGAAGTAAAAATTCAATTGAAACTCTTTGTCTTCCTTTGCTGATTATTTTATGAGGGATTGCCGACTGCAACGCTATCCTCATCCCCAATCACTCAAATGCACGTCATAGTTCAATAATTTTATTTAAGACAGTGTTGTTGTCCATTTCTGCTATGTAATGAGTTCGATCCACACCAGGTGCCCCATGCAGAATTTGATATGAAATAACTCAGTGAGTACTAAACCAACCTAATCTGTTGAAGTGAAGTCAAATTTTGTTGTACGTATAATCAATGGACAATTTTTGTTTTTCATGATGTTTTACATTCAGTTTAATTTCCGTTCAGAAATATTCTTTCCTTCTATTTTGATTTTAGGTTCTGCAGTAAAGTATTGTACGGAATAATTTTTTTAGGGGTCTTCGGTTGCTGCTTCTTGCAGTGATAGCGGCCATGTGTGTTACAATTCTATTTGTTGTCTTCTTGTGTCACTTCGCATCCATTATTTTCTGTCGTCTCTCTCCGGGATTCCAACCAAAGTTTGTATTTTTATTTTAATTTCCTGAATGTGAGTTAAGTTCAAAACAAGTCAAAAAACGATGACAGACACTGAAATTCGAGAGTGAGGCCTTCCATCTAATAGTATATTTTTTGATTAACCTTTTGCCTGCTCTTTCGTTCCTACAGTTTCCACCATCTGTTCAAATTTATTCAAATTCTCGCTCACACTTATATACATACTAGCAGTAGAGCCCGGCATTGCCCGGGGATGTAGCAGTAAGAGATAGATCAAGTATCGACCATCATAAAGACTGAAAAATAAAATTGTCAAAGATTATTGTTTAACGTTGACGGACACGCATTTCTTAATTAGTTTTTTTTTTTTTTTTTACGAATTGGTCAAACCCAAACTCAAACAAAAACATTGTTTTCAATCGTTATGAGTCTACCGATTGAATAGAATTTTATTATAAACAATTCTCTTGTAAATGGAATTTTTAAAGCATTTTTAATGTAAAAATAAAGAAAAAAGTGTGCTAGACAATAAGAAACACTACCTGCCAAAAAAAATGAAGTTTTGTTGAAATTGGTTGAAAAATGTAGGAAATCCGATCCCATATATAAACGAACACACACACACACGCACACAAACAACCTGGGTTTTATAATAAGTATAACTCGATATGAGTTGTCCCCCTTTCATTCTCATGACAGCGATGCCTCTTAATCGTGTTTTCAAATTGATTTCGTGCAAAAACAATTGTGTTTTTCCAATTTTTGGCGCTGTCAGGACCACCACAAGTTAATTTTACGTAGTCCTGTGAAGTTTTGTTGAAATCGGTTGAAAAATGCAGGAAAACCGATCCAATATATAAACGTACAGACACACACATACACACACACAACCTGGGTTTTATAATAAGTATGATATACGGGTGTAACAGCAAAATTGTCCAACTCGTGTAACAACATAATATTTAATATCTAAAAACCCACTAAACTAATTGGGTTTCTTTTTTCCAGGGTTTTCAGATAAAATGTTTAGCCAACTTGACACCATTTGCCGTAAGAATCATTGAAAAATCCTTTGAGTTATTCAGATAGAAAGAGAATAGGTTAAAATAATTTAATGTCATCCCCACTGTGTCTTCCTAACTGAGCATTGGTAAAACGAAAAAAATTATTTAGGCCCTCAGTAATGGTACCAACATTCATACTCTGGCTTCCATCTTCAAAGTTTATTCAAGAACCATCAAGAGAACGATGAATAAGTTTAAAAAAGGTGTTCCTTTTTTTAAACTTATTAGAGAGGAAAACTGGATCAGGAGGTGCCAAGAACAAGAGGGATCATCATTTCAACTTAGAGCTAAATACATTTTTATTGTTAATTCCAATAAGATAGCTTTAATCAATTCTAAAATACCACGGTTCAAAGCTTAATCTGACAGTTGGACAATTTTGCCGTTACACGTTTTGGACAAATTTGGTGTTACACCATATATATATATATATATATATATATATATATATATATATATATATATATATATATATATATATATCCAAGTATATGATTGGTATATATGGAATGAATTCAGTATAAAACAAATACTATTCTTAAAAGAGTGCTCAATACAAAGTAGATATAAATTAAATAAATATAAATTTAAATAAATAATTATATATATATATATATATATATATATATATATATATATATATATATATATTGAACAAATAGTTTTAATTAAATTCTCAAACCAAAACAAAACTGTTAAATAAGTGATATAAACAAATTTTCTCTCCCTTATCTCTCAGCGTCTCTCGACTTATTTTTCATTTTTCCTTTCTCTTCGTCTCCAGCGTCTTTCTTCCCCTGACTCTTTATTCCTCATTCTCTCTCCCTTATCTCTCAGCGTCTCTCAACTTATTTTCCTTTCTCTTCGTCTCCAACGTCTTTCTTCCCCTCACTATTTATTCCTCATCCTCTCTCCCTTATCTCTCAGCGTTTCTTGACTTATTTTTCATTTTTTTTTTCTCTTCGTCTCCAGCGACTTTCTTCCCCCTCACTCTTTATTCCTCATTCTCTCTCCCTTTTCTATCGGCCTCTGTCGACTTGTTTTCCTTTTTCCTTTCTCTTCGTCTCCAACGTCTTCTCCCCCCTCACTCTTTATTTCTCATTCTCTCTCCCTTATCTCTCAGCGTTTCTCGACTTATTTTTCCTTTCTCTTCGTCTCCAGCGTCTTTCTTCCCCTCACTATTTATTCCTCATTCTCTCCCTTATCTCTCGGCCTCTGTCGACTTATTTTTCCTTTTTCCTTTCTCTTCGTCTCCAACGTCTTTCTTCCCCTCAATCTTTATTCCTCATGCTCTCTCCCTTATCTCTTAGCGTCTCTCGACTTATTTTTCATTTTTCCTTTCTCTTCGTCTCCAGCGTCTTTCTTCCCCTCACTCTTTATTCCTCATTCTCTCTCCCTTATCTCTCGGCCTCTGTCGACTTGTTTTTCCTTTTTCCTTTCTCTTCGTCTCCAGCGTCTTTCTCCCCCTCACTCTTTATTCCTCATCCTCTCTCCCTTATCTCTCAGCGTCTCTCGACTTATTTTTCATTTTTCCTTTCTCTTCGTCTCCAGCGTCTTTCTTCCCCTCACTCTTTATTCCTCATTCTCTATCCCTTATCTCTCGGCCTCTGTCGACTTATTTTTCCTTTTTCCTTTCTCTTCGTCTCCCCCGTCTTTCTTCCCCTCAATCTTTATTTCTCATTCACTCTCCCTTATCTCTCAGCGTTTCTCGACTTATTTTTCATTTTTCCTTTCTCTTCGTCTCCAGCGTCTTTCTTCCCCTCACTCTTTATTCCTCATTCTCTCTCCCTTTTCTATCGGCCTCTGTCGACTTGTTTTTCCTTTTTCCTTTCTCTTCGTCTCCAACGTCTTTCTTCCCCTCACTCTTTATTCCTCATTCTCTCTCCCTTATCTCTCAGCGTTTCTTGACTTATTTTTCATTTTTCCTTTCTCTTCGTCTCCAGCGTCTTTCTTCCCCTCACTCTTTATTTCTCATTCTCTCTCCCTTATCTCTCAGCGTCTCTCAACTTATTTTTCTTTTCTCCTCGTCTCCAACGTCTTTCTTCCCCTCACTATTTATTCCTCATCCTCTCTCCCTTATCTCTCAGCGTTTCTTGACTTATTTTTCATTTTTCCTTTCTCTTCGTCTCCAGCGTCTTTCTTCCCCTCACTATTTATTCCTCATCCTCTCTCCCTTATCTCTCAGCGTTTCTTGACTTATTTTTCATTTTTCTTTTCTCTTCGTCTCCAGCGACTTTCTTCCCCTCACTCTTTATTCCTCATTCTCTCTCCCTTTTCTATCGGCCTCTGTCGACTTGTTTTTCCTTTTTCCTTTCTCTTCGTCTCCAACGTCTTTCTCCCCCTCACTCTTTATTTCTCATTCTCTCTCCCTTATCTCTCAGCGTTTCTCGACTTATTTTTCCTTTCTCTTCGTCTCCAGCGTCTTTCTTCCCCTCACTATTTATTCCTCATTCTCTCTCCCTTATCTCTCGGCCTCTGTCGACTTATTTTTCCTTTTTCCTTTCTCTTCGTCTCCAACGTCTTTCTTCCCCTTACTCTTTATTCCTCATTCTCTCTCCCTTATCTCTCAGCGTCTCTCGACTTATTTTTCTATTTTTCCTTTCTCTTCGTCTCCAACGTCTTTCTTCCCCTCAATCTTTATTCCTCATGCTCTCTCCCTTATCTCTTAGCGTCTCTCGACTTATTTTTCATTTTTCCTTCTTCGTCTCCAGCGTCTTTTCTTCCCCTCACTTTTATTCCTCATTCTCTCTCCCTTTATCTCTCGGCCTCTGTCGACTTGTTTTTCCTTTTTCCTTTCTCTTCGTCTCCAGCGTCTTTCTCCCCCTCACTCTTTATTCCTCATCCTTTTTCATTTATCTCTCAGCGTCTCTAGCGTCGACTTATTTTTCATTTTTCCTTTCTCTTCGTCTCCAGCGTCCTTTCTTCCCCCCCTCTTTATTCCTCATTCTCTCTCCCTTTTCTCGGCCTCCTGTCGACTTCGACTTTTTTTCATTTTTCTTTCTCTTCGTCTCCAACGTCTTTTTCTTCCCTCACTCTTTTATTCCTCATTCTCTCTCCCCTTATCTCTCAGTCGTTTCTTGACTTATTTTTCATTTTCCAACGTCTTCGTCTCCAGCGTTATTCCTTTCTCTCTCCCTTATCTTTCTTTCATTATTTTTCATTTTTCCCTTATCTCTCAGTCGTCTCTCAACTTTATTTTCTCTTTTCTCCTCGTCTCCAACGTCTTTTTCTTTTCCCTTTCACTATTTATTCCTCATCCTCTCTCCCTATCTCTCAGCGTTTCTTGACTTATTTTTCATTTTTCCTTTCTCTTCGTCTCCAGCGTCTTTCTTCCCCTCACTCTTTATTCCTCATCCTCTCTCCCTTATCTCTCAGCGTCTCTCGACTTATTTTTCATTTTTCCTTTCTCTTCGTCTCCAGCGTCTTTCTTCCCCTCACTCTTTATTCCTCATCCTCTCTCCCTTATCTCTCAGCGTCTCTCGACTTATTTTTCATTTTTCTTTTCTCTTCGTCTCCAGCGTCTTTCTTCCCCTCACTCTTTATTCCTCATTCTCTCTCCCTCATCTCTCAGCGTCTCTCAACTTATTTTTCCTTTCTCCTTGTCTCCAACGTCTTTCTTCCCCTCACTCTTTATTCCTTATTCTCTCTCCCTTATCTCTCAGCGTCTCTCGAATTATTCTTCATTTTTCCTTTCTCTTCGTCTCCCCTTTCTTTTCTTCCCTCACTCTTTATTCCTCATTCTCTCTCCCTTATCTCTTAGCGTCTCTCGACCTATTTTTCATTTTTCTTTTCTCTTCGTCTCCAACGTCTTTCTTCCCCTCACTCTTTATTCCTCATTCTCTCTCCCTTATCTCTCAGCGTCTCTCGCCTTTTTTTTCATTTTTCCTTTCTCTTCGTCTCCAGCGTCTTTCTTCCTCTCACTCTTTATTCCTCATTCTCTCTCCCTTATCTCTCGGCCTCTGTCGACTTGTCTTTCCTTTTTCCTTTCTCTTCGTCTCCCCCGTCTTTCTTCCCTTCAATCTTTATTTCTCATTCACTCTCCCTTATCTCTCAGCGTCTCTCGACTTATTTTTCATTTTTTTTTCTCTTCGTCTCCAACGTCTTTCTTCCCCTCACTCTTTATTCCTCATTCTTCCTCGCTTATCTCTTTATATCTTCCCGTCTCCTTGTCTCGTTTTTGTCTCTTTACCTTTCAACGTCTTTCTGCCCCTACGTCTTCATTTCTCATACTTTTCTCCTGTTCCTCTCTCCCCCTCTTTTTCTCTCGTTTCTCTATTGTCTAGTTTTCTTTTTTTTAATTTCCCAGAATTCCATTGCTACCTATCGTAGTTTGATTATCTTTAACTCCACTCCCGCCCCATCCTTTCCAAGACCGACTATGTCGTGTCAATAAGTTTCTCTCGGAGCTCTCCCCTATTCTGCAGGCAAAACAATAACGAAAAACGGAAAACATTCAAAGAGAACCAAAATAGTCATGTTTCTTTTATTCCTTTTCTTCTCGGATCTTTCCAAATTAATTTCTGTCATTGTTATTTCCTGGCTTAGAAGTCGGACGCTATCAAATGCGATGTAAAACAAGCCGGATATCCAAAGAAAAATATTGACGCCTTAGAAAAGAACCGGAAATTCCACGAATCGATTTCGCGCCCAAAATGCGATGAATAATCTGCGGAACCTACAAAGTTTGTTTTGTAAGCCACCTCGACACAGCGAATAATTAATGGGTCCAACCAAGTACAATCAGGCTGAAAATCAAGTTGGAAAGTTGCCTAGCAAATTGTCTCTAAAGGCCGCATTGATAATTCTCAGGCACGATGCATAATCCTTTCACGAGAAATGATCAGCTGAAAAAATAATGCCGAGAACTGTCTTCTCGTCGTGACCACAGTTAGAGGCTAAAGCAAGGGTGTCTTTTGTTATCAAATGTCTGGGAAGTGGGGGTATAATTATATCCATCATGTGCAAATACAAAACGGAGAAGACCGCTGTAGAGTATAGATGTCTGAAATAATCAGGACATATGCTAAGCTATGTAAACCTTCTTAGTAGACATAGCATAGAAATAAGCACAATGAGGGGGCCATTAATAAATAAACCGTAATGACAGCCAAACTTCTACAGCAGTAAGAAAAGAGAAGCCTCTGTAAAAGCAAACAAGCGTGACAAGTAGCAACGGTAATCTCAGCAGCAGACAAAGGAGATTTAAGATTCCAAGTTCTATACTCAGAATTGTCCCACAGGACAATAGCTCAGTGTATTAGTTGGTTCGTGAATTTGATGATATGGTAATTGTGAATTCGATTCCTTGGTCGGGGATTGGGGATTTAGACTCAATAGAAACAGGGCAAGCAATAACTGAAGAACCAGACGAGATAAACGTAGACATGGTCTGCGGATCTTAGACAAGCTATCTTAAGGCTATCAGAGGAAGCCCAAAGGATACAACGGCCGAAACACTGAGATAATAAGTAAATATAGTAAATAATTATGTCGGACTATTCAAAGATAAAATGTTACTAATTTGAGTAGACCAAGCGAGAGGGCAAAGAGGAAAGACGGAGAGGGTCAGAAGCACATCCAGAGTCACATGACTAAGTGTAATGTTTTTTTTAGTAACGTCTGATAATTAGATTATTCGTGTGTAAAATAACTCTTAACTGGCTTTCTGACTCCGTTGAATTAAAATTGATCGAATCAAGTGGTATGTCGTTTCGGGTCTTTCTTCGTCCTTCTATCCTCGTATGCTTGGTAATATAATGTAACCTCAGTACTTAGATGTTACAAGTACTTCCAAAACTATAAAACTTCAAGGAAGGAAAGAAATCAATTTCATGTTCTGAAGACACAATTATTATAACTTGTATATTGCCTGTCTCGTCGCTAAAATATTTGTGTAATGCCCTTCTACAGAACGATGCTAAGGATATTATAGACCGATCATGTGAGCAACGATGAGGTCTTAGAGGTTACAAACAAGGAGAAGGCTTATACTTAACATCAGAAGGAGGCAGCTGAGACACATAATGAGGAAGGTGGTCCTGGAGAATCTGATACTCACGGGTCAAATAGAGGGAAAGAGAGACAAGGGAAAGCAGTGCGTTACATACCTGACAAGCTTGAACAGGTGGATTTCAGACGTGGTCTGGGTGAGAGAGCAGAGGGAAGGAGCTTGCTGAGAGCTTCAAGGGATAGAAGGAGGCGAAGAGCCATGATCGCCTACGTCCTGAAAGGACATGGCACATAAAACGAAAGAAAATGCTCTTCGATTATCCATATAAACCCAAAGAAATATTTTTTAAAAATGTTGGTTTTTCAACGTACGCAAGCTCTCTCACTTCAGAGAGTGACCCAACACAATTATTCTAATCTCATTTGCTTCAAATGTGTCATACTCATTAAATATTTGCATTGTAATTTGCATACGGAACAACATCTTCTACCAATTGTTCCAAGAAATATAAGCTCAAGATAAACCTTTCTAATCATCATCATCTTGCGGCCTCAGCCGAGATTGAACTCACTACACCTTTCCAGTATTCCTTATCTATCATAGCTAATACTTTGATTGGTGTAGTTCATAATCTTGTCAAATAGCTGAATACTTGATGCTTCGCTAGGGCTATCAAGGGTGTTTTTATCGTGACACCATCACTAAATGGATTTCCAACCAAAGCTCAGAAAGATTCCATTCACCCTCCGCAGGTTTTGAATTCAGAGTTTTCCTTCTCCTAGACCAGTTGCCATCCAAGGTTATAGAACCCAGTCTGTCCTGCTATTTACCAATAGCTTGAGGGAGAAGAAGAGGATTCACACCTTTCCCAGGGGTATTAGCACGTAAGTGAATGTAATGGATTCGACTGGAATTCGAACTCGGCTCTCTGATTCCTCAATTAAAGCCGCTATCCATTACTCCACCGTGCCTCCTCCAACCTTTCTAAAAGAGAGGCAATGATCTAGAATTGGAAAGAAATCACTGATGACACCTACATTGAATCCATCATAAAAATTCAGGATGTAGAGTTGATAAATACTAAATATTTAAAATACTTCGGTATAGGGATCAGTTGTAACAAATTTAGTATGGGAGAAAATGAAATTGAACATAGAATAGGCAGCTCTAAAAATAGGTTGGAACAGCACCGCACGATGTAAAAAAACAAAAACTTTAAGCAAAAAACTGCAGTCATGTTCCTAAATAGCCTCGTCAGTTCGTCGAAACTTTCACATGGATGTTATATATGGCATCCAACCCGTTCAGCAATATCTAAATTGTCAACTGTATGCAACCGTTTTCTCATATCAATTATTAAACATGTCTTTGAGGGAATAAAGCTTCTAGGTCTTAGCTAGGACGATCCTTCTTCGAACCACGTTGACTGGCGCTACAGAATCACTAACAAGGAACTGTAACACAGACCACATTTCTTGAGGATCTTCAATAACAGAAACAACTAAAATAGATAGCCCATGTAAGATGGAGAGAGAATAATGACATAATAAAGATGTTGATGTTCCACACGACTTCAGACATAAAGCTGGGAAGGAAATAGTAACAGTGGACTTGAGAAACCTATTTTTCTGAAAGTTTATTTCAATAATTTTTCTTAGAACTTTCAACTTACATTAGCTGCTCGGTCAATGAATGTCCAATCTTTCCTTATGGTTAGTTTGGTTTGATTTGTTTTATTTTACGGTATATCAACCTCAATCGGTTATTTAATGCCGACAAAATTTTCATTGTTGGTAATATTTTTTTACACAAATCTATTTCTGTTAATATTTTTTTTCCTTCAAAAATCTATTTCTGGTAATAATTCTCCTTCGCTGATAATATTTCTTTTTCAAAATATTTAGCTGGTAATATTTTTTTTTTTACACAGTATTTCTGGTATTAAAACCAATTTTCACACTTTCATAGTATTTTGACCCAAGTTTGGGTGTTAACTATTTGCCCATAGCTGGGACCCTAGCAAGTGCTACCACCCCGGGTCAGTGGGGATCTGTGAACACCAGCAATTAAGAGGTGGTTCCACGCTCCTCAAAACTTCCGTATTTTATCGTCTTACCCAGGACGTCTTTCCTTATGAGGCAAAGGCTAATGCCGTTAACATTATGTGTTGTTCCCTAATGTTGTTCCCTAATTTCTTGTTGCTTGCTTAGGCAAGCAACAAGAAATTTCAGGGTTAGACAAGCTCAGTCATATCACCTACGCTTGAGAGGGACACCTCAGAAAGTCATTTGTACCCAACTAAGTGAGAATTATGGGAATTTTAATAAGAAAATTATTTCTCCAATTCCTTGCTAAAATAAAAGCCGCCCTCATCTGAAAAACACATTTTTGTAAACTATAAACTTTTTAAAGCACAAATGCTAATCCTAGATCTATTATTTTACCAGTATTTGAAAGCACATTTAGTTTTGAAGATTGTTTAACTTTGTGGCGGGTAAATAGCCAAGAGTATCGGTGATGAATGAAAGCATTGTAAGCCAATCTCTCTTCCAAGATGGCCGTCCACGATAAATATTCTAAATATTAAGCAAGATTGTTTCATGGATACATTATTAATCGAACTTGTTAAATGAGTTAATTATCACTTAAAAGAGCACCGTACCTTCAATCGAATAGATAGATAGATAGATAGATAGATAGATGAATAGATAGATAGATAGACTAGATAGATATGATAGATAGATAGATAGATAGATAGATAGATAGATAGATATAGATATAGATAGATAGATAGATAGATAGATAGATATGAATAGACTCAGATAGATAGATAGATAGATAGATAGATAGATAGATAGATAGATAGAATAGATCATGATAGAATAGATAGATAGATAGATAGATAGATAGATAGATAGATAGAGATAGACTCAGATAGATAGATAGATAGATAGATAGATAGATATGAATAGACTCAGATAGATAGATTTATAGACTCAGAAATTGATAATCATTTGTTTTAGATTGATGTGAATAGACTTGAGGATAGATGGATAGATAGATTGGATCGATAGATGGCTGAGTGATGTAAACAATGGATGGAAAATGATTTTGATTCTCGTTCATTTGTTTTCAAGGAGGGCTAACTGAAATTTGAGGTTTGTGTAAACAAAAAAAAATGTTCTCGTTCATTACAAGGAGCTAACTGAAATTTGAGGTTTGGTCAATAACGAACACTCACGCATTCTCTCTCTCTCTCTCTCTCTCTCTCTCTTCGATAGTCTCTCCTCGACACGGTTTTTCTCTTTCTTTTCTACTCTGTGCCTTTACACTTTGTCCTGATACCTTCGTCCTCTCTATTACGAGTCCTATTCTTTCT